GCTGAGTTAGTTAATCAAGAACAGTAAGGTAACTGACTGATTTTCTGCATGTTAAAACATTTCCATAAGCTCAAACTTTGGCTTTGATACTCAGAAAAGTTCTGATATTAGTTTCCTTTTCTTCATTACTGTTTACACATACAGATCTCTGATCTCTCTAACACAGATCAGCCGTTAGACAGAGGGCTGAGAGAGAGATGCAATAACAGGGCTACAATAGTATTTTATCTACTTAAACAAATCAAATGCCTTTAGAGTGAGACTCAATCAGACGTTTTAACATCTGGCCAGCAGTACCAACCAGGCGCAATGAAGCTCAAAACTGGTCTAAATAAAGACACTTGGCAATCCTAGTTAGACATACTTAAGTGTCACGCAGACACAGAAGTACACTTTTAGATACACTTTTTTTTTTTATCAAAGTAAATAAATCTGCTAGACCTACTCTAGATGTAGCTTAGTTTATTACATTTTTCACCATTCTTGACAGTCTTGAACATTTGAAGTGGCAGTCTGGTACAGTAAAGGAAACATGCTAACTGTATGCAGACTGCATTTCCCATGAGTCTTCTGTGTGCAGGGACACAAAGATCCTCTCCATAGATGGTTAAAAAAGAGATGATTTAAAAATATATATTTTTGGATTCAGTTTTAACAACCAAAAGCAGTAACACTACACTGTTAAAAAGCATTGTTACTGTTAAAAAGTCTAATTAATCTAGAGAATCATTATATTACCCATACCTACATAACAATAAAATTTCATAGGATGACACTTTATTTGGAGTGGTCCTTTTTAGATGAAACAAACACTCAACAGACTCTCAGTAACATGTCAAAAACATTTGAGAGTTAGGATTAGGTTTGCGTTGAGGTTAAGGTTGGGGTTAGGATTAGGGCCAGGGTTAGGGTTAGGTTTTGGGTAAGGTTGGGTAAGGTTAGGTTTTGCATGATGGAAGTAACATAATAACAATACATCTATTTAATGTAAGTAATGTATCAACAGTATAGCTACAAGATATTCAATGTATTCAGATGCTTCATTACTGCTACTTCACTGACATGTTGTTGATGTGTTACTTATAATCTATTAAGAGTTTATTAATCATCTACAAAGGATCACTCCAAATAAAGTGTTACTGTTTATGGTTTTAGTGGTATTCAGAGATATCAAAAACATGCTGGGTGTTTCAGATTGTTGTCAGTTAGAAATACATCAAAAAAAAAAAAAGTAAATGTCCTTTCTAAAAATCTAGTTTCTGTCTGGTTACCATTTAGAGTTCCCGTCAATGTAATTTTAGGAGCCACCATCTCACCATGTATTAATTGTTTTTTAGTTATTTCAATTCATTTGTATTCCTAAGCTTGTACTGTTTTTCCACACTGAGCTTCTGCAGCACTGGGCATCAATGAAGTCTCATCATATCTCATCTTATCTTTCTCAGATTAGTGATAAGGGATTTACATAATGTTTTCAATGCTCAGCTTTAAAATAAGGTAAGAGCACTGTAGTCTAGGCTGGGAGCTGCCTGCCGTTCAGGCAGGAAGGGAGAGGTGGCTTTGGGAGCAGGAAGCCACAGGCACTAATGCTAGATGAATGGAGGCCTGCCGCTGGCCTCAGCAGCCCTGCCGCGAGACTCTGAATCCAACCTGCCAAAAAGCAAAGGTCATGCAGTGGGAGGGGCAGCTGCTGCAGCACCCATGCAATGCCAAACCTGCCGCACTTATACTGCAATAGGGTGAAGACTTGGTTAACCCTTAGAAGTCGAGTTATTACTTTTATTTTTTTTTGCTATGCAAATGCAATTATGTAATTTATTAATTAATAAAATAGTTCCTTAATGAATTACTTTAATTTACACCCTGAATCTGAAGGTCTGATTACAACTTTTTTGCACTTGTTCCGATGTAAACAAATTACACAAATACGGCAAAAATTATTATTTCTTGTATGCACACAACAACTTTTCATCAGCTAAAATCATAATATCTTCTGTTCTACATACAAACAAAGTAGGATATCGATTGAAGATTTAGAATATGCACTCAGATTTAATTTATTTGCTTGTTGTAGAAGTGTTCTTAATCTAATGGTAACTTTATATGGTCCCTTTATATATTACTAGCTCTATACTGTAGTTATTTTGATTGCTTCATCTCTATTTTAGTGTATTCTTCTGCCTGAGTTTCAAAGCTTAACTGCTGTAGTTAAATGATTTTAAACGATTTACGTAATGTTTTCAATACATGCAGCATCGATCCTCATCTAACTTTAACTTTAGACTTCAAAGTTTTATTTTAAGCTTCTATTTTTACATTTAGTAAACCTACCTGCTGCCATGCATGAAATACATTTTTTTAATCTAACATCATGTTTCTTTATTCAAACTATTTATCCGTAAGTTTAAATACACTGACAATAATCGAAAGTCTTAGCATTGTTGTATTACAAAGCTAATTTTTTTCAGTTTGATCACTGTCACTTTCACTGAGCTGTTGTCATTATACAGTGAGCCAATGTGGTTATACTGTACCAGTCAAAGGCTTTATACTGAAGTATCAGATCTAAATCTGGCAACTAGGTATCAAGAATTCAGGTCAGATTGCTAGCTAACTAGTAAAACGTCTCTGCATATCTGAGAGAATATATATGGTTTGGCAGATGGGTTTGAGTTTCTTGCCACTATGGCTGGTGGGTTAAATCCAGCTTAATACACATTAAAAGGTCTTTTTTTGATATTGGTGTCACACTGTAATATTGTTGTTCAATTTTTGTGGCTTTATATATTGTTTATACAATGGCCCTAAAAGTATTTTGAACACATTTGAGCAATACTTAAAGATGTATTACATTCATTATGTTAGATAACAAATTGTCAAACCCAGTGCCATTGATTTTAAACTGACCAGTCCTAGACCGTCTCTTTCTGTTTGGCAAAGTGTTCTTTAAAAAAATAAATATGATGTGTTTCAGATTGTTGTTGTATAAGCAATTTCTCTGCAAACTTTTGCAGGTTTGCATCCAAAATTCCTTTATGCATTTCTGAATTCATGATCCCATCAATGAATACAAACTCACCGACACCACTGTAAAACAGTAGACTATGTCGTTTTCACCAGCCATTTTCCTATGTCATATATGAACATTTGAAACATTTAACACTTTGAAACATATTTCTAGGCTGTGTTTGTTACATTCCAGACACCACACTGTGTCTTATACACAGCCTTATGCCTAAAAAGGTCGTTCTCAAATGTTCTTTATTAAAGAAATGGTTCTATATAGAACCATGAACACTCAGAGAACGCTTAAAGGGTTCTTTGCATTGTGAAGTGTTCTTCAGATTGATGGAGAATGTGCTGTAGATAGTTTTGTATAGAAACTTTTTGAAAAGGGTTCTATATAGCACCAAAAGGGGTTCTTTTTTTATTACAAGCTTGACACCATAGCAATAGAAGAACCCTTTCTAGTAAGTGAATAATCCATTATTGGCATCATATTTTCATCAGCATAATATTTTTTTACAACTGAGTGTAACAATGTATAACGAACATGATCTAACAAAGATGAAATTTGTTGCACTGATGAAACAAACAGAGAAAAAAACAACTCCTTAACACCCTTAAGAGATTTGCAGTTGTATGTTAGTGCTACACACAAGATTAAATTTGGACGAGCTTGTTAAATATTCCATGTTTCATTTGAAGCTCACTCCAACAATTAGTGTACCTAGCCATATGCCAGAGCATCCAACAATAAAGACCACATCTTGCTCCTTTTAAGTAATGATAGAAAACACAGAAAGCTCCAGTTCTATATGCTGATACATTTCACGGAGTTAAAGGGGACAAAGACAGTCTCTGAATGTATCGCGTACAAGTCTTTTGACAAGTCGTTTGATAGGGTTAACTAAAAAAGTTGTTCTGCAGATTGTTTCAGAAAGTATATGGACTATTCTACATTCAAAAATAAAAAAATAACTATTTAAAAAAAATTACATAATCAGATATTTACAAGCATTATGTTATGAACCATTTAAATGCAAGGCATTGATAAAGATTGTAATAAGCTAAATGTTTTATCAAAATCCTAATTTATAGGGTACATTCTATTGAGAGGTGGCATTCTATTGAGAGGTGGCTGTCCCAAACCCTAACCCCTTACCACCAAAAGTGTTTTGAGGTTGTTTTAAAAACTAAATGTATCCAAAAGTTTAAAAACCATCATGAATACTTAAGAATTGTCACTGCTGCAACACATATTTTCTGCAAATAAGTAAACTTTTTTGTGTTTTAATGAAAAATATTATGATTTTATGTTTGTACAACTGTTTAAAGCTGTGTTTGTGAGCCATATACTGGCTAGTGTTTTTTTGCGTTATACTACTAGTCACTACCAAATTGTCAATACAGAAATCATAGTGTTTTAGTAGTGTTGTGATTATTTTGGCAGGGACATAAAGAAATGTTCAATCATTTGTTTTCATAAAATAAACACAATTAAGATATCGGGTTACTCAAAGCAAAAAGGATTTTAGCCTATAATCCAAGTCAACTAAAAGCCTAAAATGTGTTTTCAATTCTGAAACATTTCTGTAGAATGATCCATATTCCAATTAAGTATTATTTTTCCTTGTCTGGTTACAATCTGTGCAAGGTTCCATTTAGAGTCATTTTAAACAATGAAAACAAAAATAAAACTAATGAACACAAGCTATGTCAGAGTTAAGACATTCTTGTAGCACATAGTAGCAGCACTCAATGAAATCAATAAAATTGGAAAATTTTGTTACATTGAATTTTATGAATACCGCTCAGCACTAGTGTCTTATCTGCATTTTTTGCTTAGTACATCAAGCTGGTACATCTAGTTTGTTGGTTCCATTGCTGAAGTCATTTCTGGCTCATCAGCTCTCCGAGTAGCTGAAATAGCACAGAGTTTTTAAGAGCAAGAGCCACTTGTCAGGTCACTCCAATACTCAGAGTGCCTTGTGTAAGGGATGACCACATCTACTGTCTCATTCATCTTGAACAGAGGCTGGCTCTACTCCAGTATGGCCTTCAAAGTTAAGTCAACTGCACTTCTTCTTAAACACAACAAGACAGAGCATGACTGGCAGTTGACCGGTGGAGGGCAGAGGGAGGAAGGTACTAATATTTCATCTCTAGTGTTCCACAAAAGGAACACAAAAAGAATATGGGCAATCAATAAGAAAATGTGAACATTTTTCAATCAGAGAACTTCTCCACCTGTGTTGCCTTAGGACGCCAAACTAACTATTAGTGTCTCACTGAGAGGTGTCGTGCCACGGTAGAATGGTATTATCAACCTGATCCCCTGCAGAGCGCTATACAGCTTATTCCAGTGCTACTGATGCTGCTGCTACAATATGTGACCATGAATGAATAAAGCAGCAAAACGACACTAGGCCGGCTCAGAAAATAGCACACACACACACACACACACAAACACACACACACACACACACACACTATTTCTGTGAGAAACCCTGCTGGAGAGAAAAAGAGATAGAGAGAGAGAGAGATACTCTAGTCTAGACAATACCACTATGCTAGCAGAATCCTGTTGAACAATGGTGAGCTATTTATCTGACCTCAGTGTGTATGTATGTGGTTGCCAGGAATATCACTGGCAAGCATTTCAGACTACCGCCTCTCGGACTGGTCAATTATTGAACAGATGTGCACCGAGGACTCCATTCAGCGCTAAAATGCCTCTGGATTTGTCACATTTATCAAATGTTGAGCATCTTCACTCGCCCTAAACTCTCTCCCCTGTGATGAAATAATCCATTGCAAAAGTCTCAGTGCCAGGTCTCTGAGATTATGTGTAATATTTTTTATCGATTTGGTCTGCTGTGAGGAAGCAAATGGGAGAAATAACGTCATGTCAAGCCTGTTCTCACGCTGTGTTTCACACCATCACACTGACATCTAATGTCATCTCTTCAGTTAGCACTTTATCACAACAACACAGTGATTTAACAGGGTTTTTTGCATTTACACATTGCATAAGAAATCTAGAAAGGTGACAGTTGAGTGTAATTACAAGACTTCATCTAATTATGTAATAAGAATTTTGGAGGTTTTTTAATGATACAATCATATTTTAGGGATTGCTGTTTTAGTCATAGTAATATTAACGTATGTTCAGTATATTATTTAGTCAGAAGCAGAAGCAATGACATACTCCCTGTGAACAGAGTTTATGAATGTTTTATGAATATTTTGAATTTGAGCATTATCAATATTAATCCAAAATACTTCATGGGAGCATAGGGCACTAACTAACACATTTGGGTTTTCAATGTCATTTTTAAATATTTGAGTAAAATGAATAGATTTTTAATAGAAGCAACCTTCACATCTTTGCTGCATATGATAATGAAAATGTTGTTTTCGTACCTAACTGTGAAAAATTCCAAATGTTACAACTTATCCACACAGGCTGAGTTAGTTGTAACAGACTAAGACCTGGCTGTAACATCCACTACAAAACTCTAGTTACCACAATTAATTCAGTGCAATTCTATGCTTTTTGGACCAAACAAGCTTTCCAACTTAAGTTTGAAAAATACACTGGTGTGAATTTCTTGACTGACATGCACAACACTCTTAAATTGAGAAAACATATAAAATTACTATCAGGTTACAAAAACTATACCTTCTGAGAAATGTTGTCAGGTAGCTGTCAAAATTCACATGAATATAAACAAAATCACACTCCACTTGAACCTGTTTATATAAATTAATTATCAGTTTTACATTTTACCCCGTAAAAAGTTCTGTTTTGTTGATATAATACCTTATGTTACATTGTACACTACAATATCATTATAACATATGCCTTAAATAGCATTTTACATATGCTTTAGGGATGCAAAAAGGATTCTGAATTTTAGCTTGTATTTTTCCACATCCATATGCACTGGAGGCTCTGGCTGGTCTTGAGGGTACTTCAGCTGAAGGAGGAAAGAAAGAGCAAAAGGACTATTTAAAATGGACTGGCTGAGATCTGCAGCAGAGGGAAATCAAATAATAATCCTCCCTGTTGGTAGGACAGGGAAGCTGATTTAGAGGGGGTGGGGCGCAGGGGGTGGATAAGGGGACATTAGGAGGAGAGCTACATCCAAATGGACCCATTTCAGAAATCTAATTTCCAAGTCGTGGGTCTGTCTGTTATGAGCGGCTGTGACATTTCATCCCTGATTGTGTTAAATTTCTTCTCTGCTTAGCAGCCCTGGGCTGAGGTTAACAAGCCAAGCGGGTCTTGACAATCCAGGGGAGTAGAGGTGGATTCTGACAATTTCATTACTGCCGAAAGCCAGAAATGCTATTGCTAATGCTAAGCTGTAAAATATTTCTCACATTATATTAAATTTTGAGCATCACGTTTATGAGCCCTGCCCAGCTGTTGCATAATCAGAAATTCCACTTAATAATATTTCAGTGATAGATCAGTGGTGAAATGGCAATAAGAAGATGTCACTGAAGACATTTTATATAGATGTACCACATAATAAAAAAGACATATTGTCAATGTCATGAGAAAACCTTACAAAAGATGTAAAAACATTATTTAATGTGAGTTAATTTTGACCAAAAAAACAAAAAAATGTACTTAGAAAGCTATCATTTGACAACAATTAAATTACCCATTAATGTTCATATCTAAAATTTTACATTTTCTTTTGGTCTATATTTATGCCATTCCCAAAAAAACAAACAAACAAACAACAACAACAACAAAAGCATGTATCTATACATTGTCCATTTTTTTTCTACATCATTTGAACATGGCAGCTACTCTTTACATTGTGTGAAAATTTCATAATGAATGGGCCAGTACAAATGCTCCAAAATTACTTTGGAATAAAACCTCTTTACATCAGCTTACATTAAAAGTTAAAGGGGAAGGCCACGATTTTTTAAACTTAACGCATAATTTAATCTTTCAGATATAAAGCAAATCATCTAGAATACTTTGATGTGAAATGTTTCTTCATAGAGAACCTAATAGACTTCTTACAGATTTATTCTTACAGTCGTGGAGATAGGAACCAGGAGTCATAGTCATTATATATCAAATATAGTCATTTTATTTGCTATCTAAAACCACCAGTGAAGCTACAAGTGTCTTCTGAGTTTTTATATTTAATTTTGTAATAGTGGTGAAATAGCAGTAAGTCAGAAAAAAAAAGTTTCCTTTGTGGCCTATTTTGTCTTAACGCCTTACTTCTCCACTATCAGTGGAATTAAAAAAAGTGCAACGTAGCCCAAATGTTTATCTCAGAATTATTATAAAACAATGTCTCAGGTGTCTCAGGTATTATTCATGACCATTCCATGTAACAGCTTTTCATGAGGTAGCTTTTAGAGGCTTTATATGCTTTTGTCTGTAAACACTTCTGTTTCCCTAGAACAGAGCATTACACATCAAACCCCCAATGACTTTGTTTATGGATTAAAATGAGTGCACTGCAGTGACTATTTAGACTTTATAATACAATCTTCATGTGCCCTGAATCAAAGGTTTAAACATGTACTCGCTGGCCTTTTGCCATGAAGAAACTCAACATGCCATTTTAGACTCAAAACCAAATGTCCACACTGCGACTGAATCCAGTACTGATACGGATAGTGGCTACAGGATTAACCAATACTGTAACAGTTCCAAATGTGAGTTGTCCTTCCTCAGCAGTTCCTATTTATGGATACTTAATACTATGTTCTCTACTAAAACCACCACAATTTCATGGCAGTTCATCAGAATCAATGCAAGAGGTCCTAGGTCAGCCGAAAGGGGAATTGCATCATTTCTTTCTTATTTCTTCATAAATAATGTGTTCAGATGTTAACAGTCACTCAGAGTCATTTAATGTAAGCCTTTTTTGAGAAACAGAGTCAGAATTGATCAGATCAGTGGTGACAGAAACAGCTACCTCACAGAAAGCTATTACATGAAATATTGCCTGTTGCCTGAAATATTGTTTTACACTAGTTTGGAGATAAGCTTTTGGCCTAAACTGTTTTTTTTCTTTCATTTATTTTTGTCTTTTCTTAGTTTTTCATGGCAGAGACGTACATGCAGGACATTTTAAGGCAAAATAGTTCCCAAAAAAATTTGTGTTTTCTGGTTAACCACTATTTTAGTTTTATCAACGTTACATATAAAACTCAGAAGACACATCAAGGTTCACTGATCATTTTGTATAGAGAATAAAAATGGCTACATTCATGTTAGGGACATTATGACTCCTGGTTCCTATCACCACCAATGTAAAAAAAAAATTCTACATTTTACATCAAACTACATTGTACATAAATCTACACATCAAACTACTCTAAATGATTTTATTGACATCTTAATTATGATTTTGACAAGTTTGTGGAATTCCCCTTTACATCAGTAGGTGTATTAGATGTCAGTGCCACATTTACCCATGCCTTAAGGGGGATGTACATATAGATTTAGCATATTTTTACCCAATGAGATGTAATCTCTGCCTTTAGCAGTCATACAATATGATCTGATATGATACGATATTATGCAGATTTTTTGTGACAAGCACGTAAAAGCAAAAGAAAAGAAGAATCATGGGAAAGTGTAAAGTGTTTCATGCACAAATCCTCCTTATAAGCACCCTTTAATGTTGCAGCGCAAAGAAACGGTTCAGTATTTGGACTACAAATTCATAATAATTGCAAGAACAACAGCTCTTTTGTTGTTTTTATTTTGTCAAAAACAATTAGAGTGAAAAAGTGAGAGCCTGTGTTCTTGTACGCTTGCATTAAGCATAGGAAGTGTCACTGCTATTCACTGTGTGGTTCTTCTGGAATGAAGGTCTGCCTATGACTGTGCTTCCTCTATTAAAGTAATATAATGCCTCTGAAATTGTATATGAAAATTTGATTTTACCCATTTTATCACTTTATCGCTTGCTTTGTCATCAGTGCTTTTCTTGAGTTGTCGGTTTTTCTCAAGACTTCTTTCCTTCCTCTGTCCTATTCTTCTGACCCATCCTATGATGTAAGCAAAGGACAAACGCACTGTGGTGAAAATTTGTAGTTTCTTTTCATGTGTGGTATTAATTAATAGTGAATATACGTAGTTTTGATGTTTCCAC